CACCAGCCATGTCAGACAGTGACTTGAAAACCTGCTCTACTCACAATACGCTCCTTTGACTAACAACGGTGATGAACAGTGCCTTGTCCATCAGTCCTCAAGGCCTCAAACACATGGATGGAGACCTGGAATTCCAGCTATTTTGTGTTTTGCGGTTTTCTGGAGAAATTATCTGTTATAATTTTAGATGCAATGCTCTATACTTCCTAGTGTGAACAATTTTGGGTTTTCTTTTTTCTTTTTTAGTTTGACAGCTTTAACAAAAAGAAAATTGATCAGTCCAGCAGTAGCACCACCAGAGGAGGTCCCAACAAACTGCAGACCCACAGTTCCTCCACACAAACAGCAAGCAAGGGCAAAGCTACTGAGGAGCACTCTGAGAAGGGGAGTCAACCGCTTGGCCACAGCAGGTGGGACCCCTTCACTTCTCAGTCACCTCCAAACAACGTGTCCCTGTTCCTCCTCCAAGTGTCTGAGTAACAAAACTCAAACACAGGCCGCCCCATCACGCAATGAGTTCACACATGGCCTCGTAACAGACTGTCCTTTACTTCAGTTGTGTGGAAAGTTCATGTTTGGTCACATAACACCTTGTGTCTGCCAGGTGAGCCGTATGCAGCCACCCCCCAAAACACATCATATGCTTCTGACCAAGTCCTGTGATGGGACATATAAGCAGCCTGCCACATGATCCAACCTGCACATTCACTGTTAGCACAAGACTAGAGATCTGTCCATCCTCTTTTAGGTGATACGTGCATTTCAGCCATGAGAAAGAAACATTTCTGGTCATGCGATGACGAAGATGCTGCAAGGTCATTCAGAAAGAGTGACAGGGCAGATGATCTCATTGGGCACGCTGAATTTTGTCTGCAGATTATCGGATGAACTCTCAATCGAGAATACTGTATAGTAATTTTCCTCAGGCAACTTATCTGAACAAAAAAATCAATGACAATTTTTAAGTTAAACTAATGATACGTCTATACTGCAGCTGCTTTTTCATAGAGACTCTCAGTTGGTTTTGTACAACATAATTCAACAGCAAAATCAGTCTGGACAAAGCACAGGATTTCAGCACAGGCCTATTTGTCTCAATTGTCAGAGCTTATATTCACATGTTGAAAGTTAACTTGAGTACTTACACTGTTTTGTGGACATAGCCCAAAACAATTGCTCAATTCTTACTTTTTAATGTTTCTAAAATTGGAGTTCTAGAGCAAAGAACTAATTGCTGTGAATTTGCTATTCTAAAATCATTTCAAAATTTGACTGCAACTAAATTAAACTATTGTACACACATATATAGTTTCTGTTCTAAAAATGAACAAGAAAAACTCACTTAAGAACACAGATCTATTATCAAATTAACATTGTTTATTTTAATAAAAAAGAAAATCATGTGGTAAATTAATTATTCTTCTAATGAACTTCTTCAGGAATAATATCTTTCCTTTTGGAATAATTAACATACACGGAGAAATGAGGCTAGACCATTTTGCCCTGCAAGATAATAATTAAAACACAAGCACCACTTAAGGGAGGAGAGGCTTAAGCCTGATACCGCTGGAATGGGTCTTTAGCCTGGGCATTTGATGTGAGCAATTGTTCACCAGTAAAAAGCACATAACCACTTAGAGATCCATTCTCCTCTGCAATTTATTTCAGGAAATAGAACTCTGCTAGTTACACCTGCTGAGCTATAAAATGTTCTGCCAATAAACAGAGTTTACATTTGAGGATGCTACATTTCAGCCAAGAAATAAGCTTTGCAACCCAGAAATCCTGAGCCAGAGAGAGTCTATCATGTTTCCCTGCCCTGAATCTTTTTGATTGTGATGATTTTTTGACCTCCATAAATATTGAAAATTTTGCTCTGTTGGTCTTGCCAAACTGACTAAAAGTGAAACGAATAAAATAAAAATAAATACTAAAGAATAGCTGTAAAGTGCAAGTGTGGAAGAGATGGCATTTCGATCTTAAAGAGAACACATACCTATCACCATTGTGCAAACACCTCAGTGAAACAGACTATAGCATTTGCTCTGCAATTTCTAGTGCACCAAAAATCCAAACCTTCGTTTGATTAGGATCACAAGTTGTTGCTCGCTACATATCAAAACAGTTCTAGTTTCTTAGAGGGGTATTACACCACCTTTCACAGTGGTCCCTGTTCAGGATCAGATTCTTCTCTTACATTTAAGGCAATTCCCACCCCTCCACCAACCAAAGAATAAGTCTGACAGAATCCAAAAAGAATATAATCTCTGGACCTGACTGAAGAACAAGGAGGGTTAACGCAAGTGCTTATTTCATAAATTCTATATGAAATTTCAAGCACCCCGGTAGACTGAGATTATGAGCTGAAGCAAGTGGAATCGTCTTTACATGCTTTAAATTAACCTCCTCAGAAATGCCTTCACAAGAACAGTGCCATAAAAATTCCAATTAACTGTAATTTCTGTGTGAACAGAAAGTCTGCACTTAATATTGGTAATTTACAACAGATATCTTGTAGATCTTTCACAGCACTCTACAACTTCAGGGTAGCATTAAAAGCATATTTCTAAGCAGTTTGAAGTCTACTCCACAAGGAGATTGCTTATCTACAAAGCCACCTGCATGCTGTAATTTAAAATATTATGCTGAGAAAGGAGTCTGTAGAATATTTTAAGAGGCTTTTCTTTAATACTGTTTACAAAACTATTTTTTAAAGTATCCATCACACAACTTCCCTACCCTCAATTAGTGAATCGCCCTCTGCTAACCTTAGGGGAAAAAATGATCATTTCCCCATTTGCCTGTTGAACAGTGGTTTAACTAAATTCCTTCCTTCCATTTTTCCAGCTCTTTCCATTTTTCTCATTGTTTCTCCCCCCTGTTGTAGACTTTTCTCACTCTGTTCATCCTTACAGAAAGCCACCTTCTCCATCCCAGGTGCCAGTTTCCAAATCATTAATATAGCTGGAAAACAGTAGCAGGAATACTAGCTATTTTAGGAAACTGCGGAAGAATCAGTTAAGCTTTCTCGCATCACACAGCTGGGTCAGGTCAAACCAGTATAACTGATATACTGGGTGAGCCTGGCGACAGGAGATTCCCTGGGAGTACACCACATGTTCAAAGACATTTAATTTAAAGTGTCTTAACTCAGCAGCTGAGTTGCCATAATTTATTGTGTATGGACTCAAGCCACCAAGCGGCAAGATAACATGGTGGCTTAACACATTTTACCTTACTATTGGGAGTGGTTAAAAACACATGCACAGCCAGCTCTGATCATCTGCGAGAGATCATTAAGGCATTATAATTGACCTTTTTCGATTTAAGGCTCCTATTAAAAATTTTAAGTGGAAAATTGGTAAAAGCCATTATAGAAATGCTTATGTTCCTTAAAGAATTCCCTTAAAGAAACATCTGATCGCCCCTCTCATCTGTGTAAATCGCCAGCCTGGGTGTTGACACGATACATCCTTGGCTGTTGCAGAACCCATATTGGGATCTCTGTGTGTGCTATGCATATGTAGCACCATAAAGCATCCTCTCACGTATGCCCGCAAGATGTCAAGAGCGGCTTTTAAATCACCGCACATCCCGGTGCCTTCCTGCATGGGCACTGACAGCATCTAGCCTGTAATGAAACACTATCAAAGACTGTCCCTTAAAGGATAAAATTTATCACAAGTCTAAGATGAAATTCTGGTCTTGCTGTGGTCACTGGGAATTTTACAGCAGACTTGAAGGCAGCCAAAATTTCATTGATAGTTTTTAAATAAAACCAAAAATGCAGAGTACATATACATTAACTGCAAAAAAAAAAAGCTTTAGATTGAATATGGCTCAAAATGCAGCATCTGCAAAAAAACCTGACATTGGACATCACTGGGAAGGGTACCGAGAACAAGGCAGCCAGTCGTTTTGCTACCATATAGAGCCATGGCACACCTACATCCTGAGCACCATACACAACTTACCCTCCACGTCTGAAGGTCACAATGGAGTAAGTCACCCTATTCTGTGCCTTCTCTATCCTAGCTACTCCTGAGAGAGCAGCTGCTTTACAAGGAGACATTAGAAAGGCTGGAACTCTTCAGTTTAAAGAGAAGATGGCTGAGGGGGATATGATTGATGTCTACAAAACTGTGAAGGCAGTGGATACGGTGAATGCAGAACAGTTCTTCCACAAATCCTGCAATACTAGGCACAGGGAAGACTTGGTGAAATTAGCAGATCAGTTTAAAAACCATGAAGGACAGCACTGCTTTGCACAGAGCACAGTGAACATCTGGAATTTGTTGGCACAAAGTTGTGGAGACGGACTGGACCAGCACATTCAGGAAGCGACTTGGCAAATTCATAGACAAGAAAGAAGTCCACAGACACCAAATGAAATAAGCAGGGACACACTCTCCAACATCCCTAATCCAACAATTGTGGATACTGGTGGAATATTAGCGAAAAGAGTGGCAAACAGTCATCTGGCTTGCATTAAATTCCTAAATTGCATTTCCCTGTGGATGTAGACACATTACCGGGTTAGACGGTCCGCTTGTCTGCCCAAGCTAGACATTTAAGTTCTTCAGCATACTGTTATGAAGCAACAACAAAATTCTTTATTTTTTTTCTTTCGGAAATATGGACCTTACTAGGAATTTTTACCAAATTCAGCCTGGCTTATACAGGTCAATAGGAGTTGCAGCTTTTTAAGCCAAGGCTGCTGTTAGTCTTTGTAGGGGAAATTCAGTGGATCATTTCAGACTGATATATATAACAAACAGGCAAACAGTCACAGGTATTGGACACACGTTTACTCCGGTATTTCTACTACAGTTTCAATCTATTTCAGTGTAGCTAACAGGCAGAAACTGAAGCATGGCTTGTAAAGCTTATCTTGATAAACTATAATGACAACGTAGCACCAAAAAATGCTGGTCTCTGCAGATTATATGAATTTTGAGCTTGAAATTTTGAATTTTTGCAGTGTTGTTTTTCTGGCTTACCTTCACTGCACTGAAGCAGAAAGCATATAGGACAATCAGAACCACAAAGCTTCTGGAGATGCTGTAGAGTGCAGATACGAACCCAGCAGCAGCTGAAATGCAGACATTACATGTTAGTTAATTTCTTCCTAAATGAGAACGTGCAATCAAAAGAAAAAAATGAAACAGCTCTTGCATCACGAGAGGTATAAGGATTAAAATCAGGTATCACAAAGCTGGTTGTTGAGAGAACACTTTCAATGCCCCAAATAAGCTCACAAAACTGTTTACAGCTAAGACTGAAAGCTCGATGCCACTGTACTCCATGTGATTTCCATTGACCTGAGGTCCCACACTACTGCTTTTTGTACTGAACATTGTTTTGCCAAAATATCAGTATGGCTCTTCATGTTGCTACCAAGGAGGAATGAAGTGATCTACAAAATTGGCAATTTTCTAGTCAAACTCCATGTGAAATTTTCCTCCTTCCCTTTGCTCCTGAGACATGGGCTCTGGTATCATCCAAAAGCATCCTAACTCGCTCAGTCAACCACGATTTGCACCATATTAAGATACATGAACTAATTTAAAAGAAGAGAGAAGGATGCTAGCTGATCTCTTGCTATAACCTCCTTTGAGAGCTTCCAGAAGCAGGGTAGGAAAAGCTATCAGACAGAATTAGGAGTTCAGCAGTCTCAACAATGGAGACACAGGGGCTGCAAAACCATGGTCTAATTAGGGTTCAACATACACTGGAATCATCATTCCAACACGTTATTTCCTCCAGGTCTGCTATGGTATTTATGAGACAAAAAGCAAAGAACACCCGTATCATCTGTACTAGTTTTAACCATTTGCCAACATCTGTCTACAGCAGCAAGCAGAACAATGCAGTAAGCGTGGGTCTGTGGAACGAGAAATGCTGAGGATGTCATATCCATTATATACATGTTTGAGATGCCTTACTGCAGACTATCTCTAGTCTGGTCCCACAGACTGTATGCTCATTAGTGTTTGGACTGCAATAGATGCACTCTTACAGTGCACCTTTCTTTTAAGCTTGATCCAAATGGAATCCAGTTTGCATACTCTGACATCATTCCATGATGCAAAACAACATGTGGTAAGTGGGAACAAGGAGGAAGTTTGTTTCTGATCCAAACTAAGATGACAGTGTAGATGCATCCCAGTCTTCTCTGTTACTTAAGCTATACTGAAAAACAAAACTCACCACTACCTACAAAAACCTGATGCATTGTCTCTCACGGGCCTTGTTTAATCTCTGACTGAAATAACATCAAAAAAATCACAGATCTAGTATCTTGTGAACATGCCTTACTATGGAACAACACAAACATTTTTTAATTTTTATTTTTAAATGGTATTTTAAGAGAAAATTTTTTTAAAGGTTTTTTTTTTTTTAATAAATATAGTAAAGATTCACATCAGACATGCCAGGAAAGAGCTCTTCAATGTCAACCACATTCTGCAGCCTACAGCACAACTTATATACAACTTTTCAAAAGAAAAAAGAAATCTAATCAAGGGGGTCTTATTAGTATTCACCCCACTGTTATATGAATACCATTAGCTGTTTGAGCTTTAACATGCAATGTGCTTTAAAACATGCAATAATATACTGTAATCTGTAATAAGCCCAGAAAGGGATAGCTCAGGCTGCAACTGGCTACTTACCAGAACCGCCAAAAAGCAACATGTCTATTTGCTCCAAAAGATATATACAGAAGGTGTTGATTTGAGGGAAAAGACCAAGAAGAGAAATTGCAGGAAAGCAATATAAAAACACTAAAGAAAAAAAGATGTATGTTAGAACACAGTCATACATCACAATGTATTGAGAACAGAGAAACATGCATCACAGCAGAATAAGAAATGGTTGCAATAAATTCTGAAGATTACTCACGTGACCACTAGCAGCAATGATTACAGTTTCCTCCTCATGTATTCAAAATAAATTATGCTATTTTATATGCAAGAAACTAAAGCTCAGAGGTTCACTTTAAGCTTTATTCTGGATAAAAGCATCAGCAGAAAAAATAGCATTATGTAGCCTCCTTACTGCTTCTCAAATACTTTCAAAGTTATATTTGTTCTATTTAAAGTACAGAAATTTTAACTGGCAGACTTTGGAACTTCCTCCTTGAATCAGAGATGGTTCAGGCACAGGTATAACAATTCAATATAAACAAACAAAAAATATTTTAATGGCTAAGATCCTAAGTATCTCAGCTAGCACAGTATCCTGCATCTGCCAGCAATGAACAGCAAACATTTAAAGCAGCATGTAAAAATGGGACAAACCTATAGTGAAACTTCCCCAGAATATTTCCCCAGTTTCCAGCAGAATGGACCTTGACTTTGCAGTAGTGAAAGAAGATTAAAAACAGTAAAGAAACTCAGGGGTAAAACCCAGTCTGACATCTTTACATAGTCTCTTTCTAAATAGATATGCTAATTTAAAGGGCTGCCTTACAGTCAAGGAAAAGCAGGAGTCGTAATTTAGGTAATTGTGCTGCTAGTCTTATGTTCTGTTCATTTCCAGCCACTCCTCCTTCCCACTTCCTATTTCTAGCTCCACCCTAGAAAATACTAAGCACAGTTGTCTAGCAAAGCATCTAAACACACACTTGACCCAAGTCTCCAATACCGTCAACTTTCAAGGATATATGCACACATTTAATCATATTCTTACTGCTTCATTGTACTAGTACCAGAATGTTCTACATGGTGAAGGACAGAGATGTGTGTCAGCCACTATTCCTCATAAACAAGTATGTATTTGTTAGTTTACATGCTAGAAAGACTGCAGTTTCCTCCTATTCATTCTCATAAAAAGCAAATTAAACAAACCACTAGTACAACTTATTCCCTTTCCCACCCCAGTCAAATTTTATGAAGGTAACAATAGAATTTGTGTTCTTTGTTGAATGCTAATTTCACATTTTACTCCCAGCTCCTCTTACAAGATCCCTCGTGCTAAAATAAAACAAAACATCGAGTTTGATCTGACAGCTTTTATCTTCATCATATTATACAATACTGCTGTCTAATATTGTAAATCTTGCTGAGGAAGTCAAACGCAGGAGAAAAAACGACACACTCAAGTGGTAAACACAGACGGGGCTCACTTAAGTATGCTTGCATTCACAATGCTCCCTTCATAACGACTTCCTGTTGCTGGCACAAATCATATATACATAAGAACATGAGGAAACACTGTCTTCTCAATCTTTTACATGCAAATGCCATTATTAATCTCCTCTTCCTTTACTGCTCTGCTCTTCTTTTAGATATTCCACCAAGCCATACCAAGCCAAGCAAGGACCACTCAAAGACAGACAACTGCATGACAGCAAACTGCCCAGCAGGCCATGTGGACTCGCCATGGGATCAACTATCCCAAAATTTCACTGCTGAAACTCACAGGAGATCTTGTTCCTCGGGCAAAGGACTTGCAGAACTGCCAGATCTCATCTTAGACTACTGATTTACAGTCCAAACGACTGTCTTTGCTGTAGCAACCTCAGAAAAATCTGAATAAAAGCAGGGGAAGGAAGGACAAGACCAGAGACATTATAGTGTCAATACACCAAAATATATAGGGGTGAATGTAAACAAGGAGGAAAAGTTGGTTGACTACAGCAATTTCCTCATCTCACCCTCTCTCAATTAATACCGTGAATAATCCTAACAACTTCTTTAGCTAAGGTAGCTTTGTTTATCTCATCCTGCACAAAGGATACCAGAGAGGAAAATAAACAGTTGTCACTTAAAAAAGGATTGAATTTAGGAGCAGTAGTTTCCCTTGTGGGAAGCAGACAATAAAAGTAACTGATTAATCAGTTGGAATTGCATTATAAATTCCAGAGAGAATTTGTTTAAGCATCACACATTTCCATACAGAACAACACCTTTAAGAGCTGGACCACTAAGAGATGCTTATGTGAGCTGCTGGCATTTAATACTGCGGTTTGAAGGTTTCCTCTAAACCAGTAGCTACCAGATAAGTGTAGGAGGGAAACACAAATTTTGACTTTGGAAGCTTTGGGTCTTTTGAGAAATGTAGAATGATAACGCAGAGGCAATGTCACTGCAAACATATTAGAAGTTTAGAAAATTACTATTTTTAAAAAAATGATATATCTGAGTACTAGTCCATTTGCTGTGTAATAATACATACTTTTTCACAGGGGAAAAAAAAAAAAAGCATTATTTCAGTGAGAAATAGTCTTTTTGTTTTGCCCCTCCTGAACATAGCAGAGGATAACATTCACAGAAGCTTTCTTTCCCTGACAGAAGCTGTCATTGCTGAAAGTAGCAGGCAGAGGACTTGCTATCATAAAATTTTGACACCACCTGATACTTACTCTTCTGAGATGTCTGCCAAATAATTTCACTCACCTGTCTAATGCTTAAATGGTTTCATCACAAAAACTATCATACATTAAGTGTGTACTTTTGTCACTAACCACACCCGTAGCACCTAGTTGGCTTTGTTTGACTGAGGTTGGCTTTGTCTGTGCGCTTACTTCCACTACATGTGTTAATCTAGCAAAAAGGTCAACTGAAATAAGGAATTCAAGATGAAAACCATAGTTAGAATGAATTAAAGTCATGATCCCCCAACTAATATAAATCAATAGCAGAACCACCATCAATTTAAAATAAAAGAGAATCAGATCCTAAACAGATTGTTCGCAAAGAAACAGACCTGTTAAAAGCCACATTTCTTAAGTAATTAGGTTACACATCTAACAAATTTCCACTGATTTTCTTTTATAACCTTGTTTCAAGACTTTTATCATAGTATGCCATGTAGCATCAGACTAGTTCCTTGGTAAGTCCATTCTATGATTTCCATCACTTTAGTTTCTTACCATAGTAAACATCTGAAACAGAAAACTTTTCCTTTCCTTGGTATTTGTAGTGTATAGTCAAAAATCCCTTGATTTCCCAACATATCAACTTGGAATACAATGAATTATGAGCAAAGTATAAATTAGAAAGTCACCATATGATGACAAACCAATAAAAAGATATCAAAAATACCTAGCAAATGGGCAAAACCACAAAACAATAGCAACACTTCATTGGTATTCAGTGGGGCCAACTTCCCTCCCAAAACAAATACTGCCCAAAACAATTCTATACCTTCAGTGTCTAAGGGAATCTGTACTCAAAGCACAGCAAGGTGCTGGAGGATGCCGACTGCCATGGCTTAGGAAAGTAGCTGCACTGTGAACACTTGCAAGGGTTAATGGCAGCCAGAAGCTGGGACTCCCATAGAGACAAAGCAAGGAACTGCCAGAGCGCAGCACCAAACATCACTTGAACAAATACACCCACAGATGTGCCAGCAAAATAAGAGTTGGCAAAATAAGAACGGGGGACAAGCAGAGGGAAATGCTTTCTTCTCCCTCTCTCGTTAAACAGGTGCCTACTGGGGAGATGAGCCTGTATTTCCTCTCTCCCCCACCCCCTCCAGGCTGTTTCAAGAACCTGCTCCACCATCTCTTCTGAGGCCAGCCAAAATTAGCACATTTATAACCACACTTTTTTTTCTTATACTGGTTGCTACAGTTTTTCATTTATCTCTATCCCAAGAGTCATTTAAGATTCTTGTTGAATTATTTATCAGCATTTTTAGTGTTCACCTTTGACAGGCAGAGAAAATAAGATGTAAGAAGAAACTTTAATGAGACCAAAGGAAAGTAATGAAAGAAGCTAATGAAAATAAGTGGGATGCAGGTCTTCATTATTCCCCTGTTTCTAGTGAGAAGGATTGGGAGTCAATGAACCCGTATAAAGGACCAGAAGGCTTTCCTAAAAATAGTATGCCTTTCAGGCAGTAATAGCCTGACTTAAGTATAGCAAAAAGCAAGTACAACAGTCGCAGGTGAACAAAGACCTCAAAGGTCATACACTCTATATCACAAATTTTCTTCCTCTACTACAGTAAGTTTCCCTGGTTGTAAATTCACAAACGGGTGTGTCGTCTTTGGTACACTACAACACAGCTCTTGGGAAGTTTTCACAACTTTTACAGTAACCTTTAACTTTTCTACTTCATACCTAACAGTGTGGCACTACTTGACCCGAGTCCAGTTCAGCACTCGTATCTGTGACACGACTAGAGCAGCATGACAGTTACAGACTGCAAGTGTGTAACAGGAAGAAGTGTCCTGACAGAATGGGGCATTTCCAGCTGTGGCCACTCCAAATTAGTGCCAAAGGACCATCAGTCCCGTTTTGGGGCAATACCTGAATGCCCTCAGCCACCTCAGGACATGATTCCAGAAGGAAACGGGTTGGAAGAGCTATTGCAGAGTGGCCGCTCCACACTAACTCATCACGTGGACAGCAAGATTAAACTAACCAAGAAAAAGCATGTTCTTCATGAGTAGAAGAATGTCCATCTGAGGGCTTGGCACGGATTAGCTTCCAGGCATTAAATCTAAAACTTGGCTGATTGTGCAGTAACTGCTCCGTCACAGACAAGCTCTTACAAAGATTAACTGGATTTCACAGATGATGTGTCTTGCTAATAACATCAGTGACTGTTAGTTTTCTATAGAGACTTTTCTATGAGCCTCACTTCATTAAGAACGCCTTTTACAAGAGGGAAGGTTGCCAGCTGCCCCCCACCCCCGTCTTAAGTCATTCCAAATGTTTCTATCAATTTGACTTAGAGTTGTGCCTCCATAACATGCATTTGACTGCCAACAAGGGAAAACACAGACTTCCCCAGCTAATGCTTAATTCATTTTTACAGTCCTAAGAAAAATATTGACTCACCTATTACATGGTCTCTGGCTGACTGGAGAGATCTAGGTGAAAAGAGCTTCAAGCCATACATTGTATAAACTGGAGGATTTGTGTCTTTAGATCCAGCATCTAGCAGCAAAATAAGGCCACACAATATACAAAAATATACAGGTCTGCTGTAGGTTATGATTTTATTGTGCCCCTGGAAAAAAAAAAAAAAAAGGAAAAAAAAAGTGTTCGGATTTTGTATTCACTCTCCTACTGCGTGCACTGCATTAAACTGGAGACAGGGTCAGGAGTCAGGCAAAATATTTTAATGACTTATACATACTAATTAATAATAAAAAGGTATTTTATCTTCTGCAGAGGAGACTTTCAAAAGGCACAAAAAGCAGTTAACACTAACTCCAGCAATCATTTATGCTTTTGAAAATCTAACTTTCTGGACCTTTCAAAACACACTTATTGCAGAAGTTGTCATTTTCTGTGGAGAAAAAAAAGCTCAGTGTGTCTGAACCTTTCTTTTCAATAGAAAAAGAATTTTTCTCTATATTACTTTTACTTTAATGAGCGTCTACTTCAGGTAGCTTGGGTTTTTTTTGTTTTTTGGTTTTTTTTTTTTTTAAACTTTATGAAATATAAAATTAATTTTTAATTGCATCCTGGGAAGTAAAAAAAGCAGTAAAGCACCTCCTAGGTGCAGTGTGAGGCATGGAGATTGATTTTTTGCACCAGAACAATGCAATTTTTTTTGTTGATTTGAACCACTTGACAGCAAATCAGTGTCCCTCCTGGAGGGGGTGACACTCATCAGCAGCTTCTGGTCTCCCTCTCATGCAGCACTTTGAAATGATGATCCAAAGGAATTAATATGTGGAAGGATCCTTATTTTACGTCTTTCATACACATCTCTCACGTGATTGATTTGCACTAATCCTACAAACCACTGCTGTGGGGCTGTGGGCCAGGGAGAATAACAGATGCTTACGAAAAATCTTAATAGTTCTCCTGGTAGCAAGCTTCAGTGTAAATAAGACATTTTAAACACTGGTGAGTCAAAAGCTTCTTCCTTGAGTGTGAAAAGCCAGAAGCAAAGTGACAAGGATTCAAGTTTGCCTTGCATAAAGCTGCTGTGAAACTGTTCTTATTTGTAAAATGTAATTTAAGTGAGTATAATAAAAAATCACTTCTTTTTTGAGTCTACTTACTGATTTGAAACAGTGGCTGTATTTGTTTGGCTGCCAGACAAGCTCCTATGTTAGCATTGCTATTAACTGATCTGTACTGTCTTTTGGGATCAATCAGTTAATAAGGTGGCAGATTGCAGGGAACTAGCAGGCTTTATTGCACCTCACATCCATGGAATATGAATCGTCGGACTGACAAATCCTACCTGTTTAATCAGAGTCTCTATTTTACTAATGCCTTTTTTTTAAAAAATAGGACATATGTCCATGAAAAAAAATCAAAGGAGAATTAAAAAGATAAAAATCTGACTTAAAAAAAATTAACTTAAAGTATTACTTTCTGGCTGTTTTTAAACTTCAGTTCATTTATCTTAAATACAAGCTATGCCTTAGAAAAAGAAACCAGTAAATATTGCATCTAAACAATTGCTTAATGATTTATATCCTGATGTGCACTCCAGACCAAAGTCTATTTTATCATGATGTTACATTCTTGTCTTATCTCTTGAATTACGGAACCCAGGTTTTATCTTTGCATGGTAATTATTTGAAGGCAGTTGGGTAAGACGGAGTTGATGACTAGAAGTCCAGAGGTTTAGCTCCACACACCTTCCAGTTCCAAGCAGAACACTGACATACTCAATTAGGTTTACAGTGTATATTTAACTCTTACTTCTAAAGTAGTTCACAGTGCGCTGGGTGAAGAACTGGCTGAAGGGCAGAACTCAAAGGGTTGTAGTGAATGGTGCTACATCTGGCTGTAGCCAGCGGTGTTCCTCAGGGTTCAATTCCAGGGCAAGCTCTGTTCTATATATTTATCAATGGTCTGGATGTACGAGTTGAACGCACCATAAGCAATTTTGCTGATGACACCAAACTGGGAGGTGCTGCTGACTCTCTTGAGGGATGGGATGCCTTGCAGGGGGATCTAGATAGATTGGAGCATTGGGCTATGATTAATGGGATGAAATTTAACAAGTCCAAATGCCAGATTCTGCACCTGGCATGAAGTAATGCCAAGCACAAGTATAAATTGGGAGAGGGGTGGCTGGAGAGCAGCCCTGCAGAAAGGGATCTGGTGGACAGCAGGCTCAACAGGAGCCAGCAGTGTGCCCTGGCAGCCCAGAGGGCAAACCGCACCCTGGGGTGCATCAAACACAGTACAACTAGCCAGTCAAAAGAGGTGATTATCCCGCTGGATTCAGCGCTGGTGCGGCCTCACCTGGAGTACTGCGTGCAGTTCTGGGCCCCACAATTTAAGAAAGATGTGGAGGTCCTTAAATGCGTCCAAAGGAGGGCAACCTTTCCAAAGGTGAAAGGGCTGGAGGGAATGTCCTATGAGGAGTGGCTAAGGACTTTGAGCTTGTCTAGTTTGGAGAGGAGGAGGCTGAGGGGCGACCTCATTGCTCTCTACAGCTTCCTGAGGAGGGGACGTAGGAGGTGCTGAGCTCTTCTCCCTGGTGTCCAGTGATAGGACGTGTGGGAATGGTTCAAAGCTGCGCCAGGGGAGGTTTAGACTGGACATTAGGAAGCATTTCTTTACCGAGAGGGTGGTCAAACACTGGAACAGGCTTCCTAGAGAGGTGGTCGATGCCCCAAGCCTGTGAGTGTTTAAGAAGCATTTGGACAATGCCCTTAATAACATGCTTTAAATTTTGGTCAGCCCTGAATTGGTCAGGCAGTTGGACTAGATGATCGTTGTAGGTCCCTTCCAACTGAAATAGTCTAGTCTAGTCTATTCCAAATAAATCACTCTTACCATGCTAACAACAATAATGCTAGTTAGGATTGAGGAAGCAGTTTTCAAAGGCTGTCTGAACAGCCTGCAAAATGTGAGCAAATACTACCTTCCCTATTTCTCAGGTGGCGGTGGGGAATGAGACAGAATCCTGAAACGGAAATCGTGCCTACTATCGGATCAACAGGGGCAAAGCAATGCAGCAGCGATGCACTCAGAAGGATGCTGTCTGCACAGCTGTTGCACTGCTTAGGATGCGCTCGAGCTCAATGAGCTTCCCAGAGCGCAACAGAGACTCCAGTCCCCACATCTGGGGAACAGGCAACACAAGGAAGAGGAACTGCAGTGAGTGTTAGTGCTGTATTTCACTGTCATTTACATCCTTTGTGTGAGGGGGATTATTTCGGACAGGATTGGTTTGAGACCAGCAGCAGACACTTTCTAGGAGAGAGAGGATCACTGGGACAGTGCATCACCTCCTGAAAGCCACAGCCAGGGGATGGACATTACACGTCCTCTTTTCAAGGTTTTTGAAACAAAAAAAAGGGGCAAAGCCCTCTTGTGCCTGCCACTGACAAGCCAAGCTAAGCAGCCCTTCACCAAAATGGGCATGTAGCAGTGCAACTTATCAACAAGGTATTTTAGATATTAAAGGCTCATTTTGTTCTACTAGACAAACTCATCAAATTGACATGCAAAACTGATTTCATCTTGGTGAAACTACTCCACTCTGCATTCTCCTTTAGAAGAATTTAAATGATGAAGCAGGATTCCTTTTATGTTTTACATCTCATTTGTTGAACAATCATTTTTCTCTCCGCTGATAAAAATTTCAGTGAAAACTCTTCCTTTCCCTAAGTCTGCCAAAAAATGTCACTGACTTTTTCAGGTCCATGTTTCTCATGAATACGTTTCAGAAACATATTCACAACCTACAAACACAGCACTGGTGCATCTCATATTTTGATATTAAGATTTTCAACAAACCTAGAATAATTTCACAAACACTTCCATTTAGTAAAATAGCACTTTTGACTGCAAAGCATTTTGATGGGGAAATTTCAGAAGGATCTAATGATTTTTTTGTATGTGGGTGCACACATGCAAGAGAAAAAAGACAGAAGGCTTTATATAAAAAGAAAAGTGTGTGTGCTCAGTTCTACAGAAAAGCTTACAGGGACAAATTAAAAATACTTTTAAAGTGCCTTATGGGATTTATGAAACTGCCTATGGTAGCTACCCAACAGAGTTAGCTATCTGCTTTGGCAGGTAATAGGACCAAGACAATGAAGTTATGCAAGTGATTCTGTAAATCTTATTAAGAGCATGACTGCAATCTTTCAAAGCTCAAATGCCTTTGTAAACTTGAGCTAGATCCTGAGCTATACAGGTGCCTTATGAGGGACTTGCAGACAAGCTCTCATGATCCTTCTATATAGTCATTTACTATAGACATAGCCTTTATTGCCCAATCTGCTGCTGCCTCTAACCAGCATCAAGAAACTCTGCAGTCAAAGCCACTTGTCTAAAACCTCGAAATGCACACAATAAGGATCTCTTGGATCTCTGAATTTAATACCCTGCAGTCACTGGCACCTCCCTTATATTCTGCTCTTAATAAACTGATACAACTCACACTTGGGATGGACTTTATTTTCTTCTCCCCACCACTCCAGTGAGGAGGCTGTTCCCAAATTTCACCATCCCAGAACCACGTACCCCTGTGTGAACAGCCACTAAAGGCCATCAGCTCCCAACGGACCAGAACTGGAAAGCCCAAAGCACAGGCTGACAGGAAAATTAGGCTCTCATCTTGTAACAGTACTAAACCTGCAGCTACAATAAACGCCAGTAGCCAGTGTTAGCTGTAGAACCTGGGAAGTTCCAACTTGAACACCAAAGCTGATCAGAACAGAATCATTATCACAATTCAACAAGATGAGTATAAATGAATATAAAATTCAAAACATCAGCTGAGTTAGATAGGTTCTCTACATACTGAAACTCATCCCTTACCACAGTGACAATATACAGACAGCGTTCAACTCAGAGACCCTAGCTGTCACAGCATGGTATGGGGCAAGAAATAATCTTATCCCCAATAAAATTGTACCAGACTACCAAACTTTATAGGGTTTAATCAGCAAGCTCTTCCTCAACACCAGGAAGTGAAGACACTGGCACTCAGAAGGAGTTCAGAACAAAAGCTTTATGCATCCCTAGGTACTGTGTTTTCTGAATTCACTGGATGGTATTTTAAAGCAGTCTCTTTCAAAATGGTATAGGCTAGAGACAACAAAGTCACATCAAACAGTAACAAAGTCTGCATGTGAGAGATAGGGAAGAAGTTTGGAACCTCCTTGGCAGGCATGGGTAACATAAGGCATTAGCGGCTACTCATGGATCCAAGAATAGAAATTAATTCCGTGTGCAAATCTGTGGCTCGTGACGGTTTGTTTCACACTGAAAAATCTCATCTGCATTTTTATTCATGGACATGGTACAGATCATTCTTTAATCCCTCTGCTGTTCTGCATCCTTACGTTAACATCAAGAGATGTTATTCTCTTTAATTTTAATGTAGTTACATGAATTATGAAACAGTACATGGAGTATCTTTTCTTGTCTTCTTGTTGTCTTATTTTTCATGGTACTTCCTAGCTCAAGCAAGCCTTTACAAATACCTATTGTGTTAAAAAGATATAACATAGAAATAGCTAATCTTCTAGTTTAACTTCATCTATAATGACTCCCACCTTTAAAAACCTCTGTGGAAAAACTCTCTAAATTTTATTTCCATTGGAGTTTGTATGGTGCACCAGAAAGTTTGCAAGAAAATGTCCCAATAAACAAAGTTTTAGGAAAGCATATGGAAGATGGAAATACACCTATTGTTACTTTGCTACACTACGGTATGACACACAGAATGCAACATGGTGATTAATACTTGTAACAGTATTGTGGGAGTCTGAAATGCAAACCTGGATTCTGCACAAAAAATGTTCTGTTTAAACTTCATTAGCTAATTTGTCTTTAATACTATAAAAAATATGGGCTAGATAGGTTTATAATGAAGTTTTGATTAAACTGTTTGCCACATACTTTAAACAAATGTACACATTACTAATGTGTCTGGATAAGTGCAAACTATTTGATTACAGTTCACATTATTGTGTCTAGACACGTGCTAGCTGAACTGCCAAATAATATTATTTTAGTCCCCAAAAACCTGAACTTTTTACTGAGGTAGGAATATTTCTTTAGTATATTGAAAATATTACCTACAATGTGTAGGTTGCTGTTTATTAGCCTTCCCCACTTTTTATGCAGACAGGTATTTCCTGTGAATGCATTATAACCAACAATACCATAAGTTCACCCCATAATAACTGGCATGGAAAAGAAACTAAGAATCTTCTGAAATCTATCTCAGTGAAATGTCTAGCATACACTTGTAAATAAGCTCAGTTTCAAGTTCAGCCTGTATTTCTAGCCTCTAAACTGACAAAAATAGTTTCTCCCTGCCAAAGGGAAATAATCCAGCAGACCTGCAGTTTTCAACATGCTGGTTTTGAACCCTGAGGGAAGAGAGGGGGTCCTCAAAAACATTCGAAGAGCTAAATAAGAAACGTCAGCAACTAAGCAGCTGGTGTAAAAGCAAGCAAGGGACCTTGTGACCACTGACATATCTTCCAAGATCTGCAAATCAAAAACGCTGAGACACTGTGACAGGTGGAGGGCTCAGGGTGGAGTTGTAGGATGATGTTCCTAAACCAGCCCTATAATGAGGACAGACTTAGGTAAGGAACAGTTTCCTTGCAAGGTGGTTGTCATTGTCAGAGCTCAGTTTCTCAGATATGCTCAACAGACAAATAGCAACCAACAAAGATCCTTACAGCTTGTGTTCAACCACAGATTTGGCCATTTCTTCAGGACACAAGCACAGAAACCGTGACCATATTATAACAAAGGGAAAACACCTGTGCCATTTGATGAGCTAGTAACACTAATGAGAAATACATCTGCAATACCAGATTAAAAAAAAAAAAAAAAAAAAAAAAAATCAATCCCCAATCTCAAAAAAAAAAAAAATTTTAAAACCCCAACTGACCAATGACCGAGGTGCTAATCTGGAACTTCTGCTGTTTTCAGTCACTGTTTCTAGAAAGAAAAAGCTTGTCTGATGCCACAAGATTGAATTTCAGCAAACTAGTCCAGGTGCATTTGTTTTTACTGCATATTTTAGCTTAAAGCACAAGCACTTTTCTAATAGCAGTTAAAAATTCAAATAGCTTAAAATTAAACGTAGTACAAAGTCTCAAAAATCACAGACATCATCTTGCTCATTTTCATAAATCACCTAGAACAGCAAACTACTTACACTTGTGTTTCACTGAACAGCCAACTGTTTCACAGTACACAAGTGATAATAAAGGAGAAAGACTTGTTATACTGGCTGAGACTTACATGTATTGGTGAAGCAGGATCAGGCTGAACACTCTAAAAACAAAACAGAAAAAAAATTTGCTTACAGGATTTTGCCTTCGCAGAAGTTAGAAGAGTATTCAGTAATTGGATGAACTTGTGTCCTACCTTTAGGAGAGAATACTGGCAGCTGGCCATCACGAGACAGAACAACAGAACCCAAATGTCTTTACAGAAGCCTTGATTCAGAGTCAGGAATCCAAGAAGCGAAACGAGAACTACTAGGAGGACAGAAAATACATTCTCCTTTATGTCTTCTGTCCTATGTGAATAAAAGTGTTAAGAGAAGTACAAATATTTATACATTCATTAAAGCAAGGCAGGTCCATTTGCAGCTGGTATGAACTGTCAATGCTGGAGCTACCAGAATTTACAGAATCTGAGGTTTTGCTCCCAAAACTACATTTCTATGTTGAACAGTACTTCACCCCCGAGGCAAAGACCTTACCCACTGCGATAGCTAAAATGTATAGAAAAAAGGCATATGCACGGAAGTCCAGCACCCTCCAATCTCATTTCCCAAATAGAATTCCACAAAGGAGCTGATTTGAATGTAGACAAGTCTATGTTTATAAAAAACAAACAAACAAAACCCCAAACACTTTTAAATGAGGAAATAAGGCATTCATTTAATGAAAAATGTACGTCTGACAACAAAGAATTAGCTGAAAGACCAAATTTGCATCTGATGTTTTATTCGTTTTGTCTGTTCTATTAGAACATGGAAGCTGAGATAAAAAACAATGTTAATATTCAGGCTATAACAAAAGAGTTTATCAGCAGATGCTTTCCATGCAATTGAAACACAGAGATAAGACACCACAGATAAGTAAGTATCTGCTCTGGACCTAAGCTCCCTGACTGTATAGCCTGATTGCTGCAGCATGTAAAACTGTCATCTGAAATGTCTGTTGTGGAGACCATATTAACATACATGGCATAGCACCCACCCAAAAGCAGAGATAGGAGAGCCAGCAGCCATTAGGTATGTAGGCTAACATGTTTGAAGTTCCTAGTAGTCTGGCAGATTACCAGGTGAGGTCTAACAGCAAAGGGCACTGCCTGAAGAGTCAATGCCAAATGAAACTGAGGGACTAGAAAAAGAAGAGATGCCAAGACAAGAAATTTTCTCTAAACAAATAAAACTGAATTGGAACAGAGGGAGCAGCTGAAAGATCCCCTCCTCAATATTCACTCTATAATATTATTTCTTTTAAGATTGGAGTACTTGGCCTACAATACCATGGGAACTTTCCACTTCTGTATTTTTGCACAAAACACTGATTTTCTCATCAGAAAGCTCAGAACCATTGGATCCAACAGCTGAGAGTCAAATTAAAGACTATCCTACAGGCCTGGTGCTCACATGAATCAGTTTCTGCTTGAAGACAAATGGTAGTGAGAACCACCAAAACTAACTCTGAAGAAAAACATTTTTTTCTACTCAAAGCAAACAGGCATCTATCCATCTACTCTACTAAGACACTAATACAATGCTCAATTTTTCCTTCTCTAGTCATCTGCATTGCTCTATACATGTGGAGCCACACACTGTAACACTACATAGAGTTGCATTTTAAAAAAGCTTACCTGTCTAACAATGCCAACAAGGTAAGCCGATCATACCAGACTTTAATCCATTTGCCAGGGAATATAATAAATCTGTAAAACTGCCTGTTCAGTTTCCGCTGTGCTGAAGAACATGAAGAATCCTCAGGGTCCTGGCTGGGTTGCTTTAAAAACAAACAAACCAGAAATACACAAAACACTTTCACATTGACATATGGCTGCCAGCAAAACAGGTGTTTAAAAGGCCAAATTTACATGAAGTTTCAGATTTTTTTTTTTTAAAGGGATAGAGGGACAATTTATTTTCTTCATTTTAAATTAGAAACAAAGATATCGCACCAGCTTAATTATTGCAGATGGACAGAAGCTATATCAATTGTGGAGCTCAACAGTGATAATATGCTTTAAACATAAATATTCATTGAAAAATAATTATTTTTTAGTCCCAATCCACTTCCTGTCTAAAGTTTCTTTTTGAAGATTTTTCCATGCATCAGGCTAACTACAGAACAACACAAAACCACATGACAGGACAAATCCTTATTTTTAACCAAAAAGTCAAGCAGGCTTTAAGGCCTAGAGGCATGACTTATCAACTCTCCTTCCAGAATGCAGCTTTGTTTATCTTTCTTGAGATGCTTCTAATACCACATTAGGTGTGCATCCTCAAGAACAGCAAGAGGAGAAAAAAAAAAATTTGCAAACAAGCACAAACAGCATAAACATCACTAGTTTAAGAGTGTCTAATCTTACCATCACAATCATAAATCCTTCCTTTTGAATATTGCTTTTATCAGATTCTAAGGCCTTTTCTTCTTGCCTGTGTTTGAACTATAGCATTTCAGTTCTCCTCCAACTCCATACCTGCACTCCTTCACCAACACTTGTGGGGAGGGAGGCTTATCTACAGACCATCAGGCAAAGTCTGCAAAGCTAGACAACAGAACAAAAAAAAGCTCTGCAAAGTAGTGATTTCTTTCCAAAGTACACCCATAATTGATTTGGGTGTGGGGGAGGGCAGAAATAATCACTTATTTTTCTTTCAAGAAGAATTTGTCTGAGATTTCGAATCAGTGTAAAGCCTAGTGGTTTTCAACCTCCTTCTACCCCACACTGTTAAAGATGATTAATCAACATTGGATAATACATCTATTTATTCTCTCTAGGCAGAGAGAATATCCAAACTCTAGGCAATGTTTACATTAGAATTATTTGTGTTAGATTAACTTTCCTAGTCAGAGGAGATTTCTGTGTGAAATAATTGATCACCTTCTTAAACTGTAACTGTTAGAAAAACACAGATTTTTAAACAACCTGCACAAAGGAATCGTTAAATTTTCTGTCAGATTATTGGAATAATTTCTAATCTTCACTTTCCAGGAAACGGAATTTTACACATCATTTACATGTGACTTAATGTATTGCTACGTGTCAGCTGGGAACCAACTTATTGATATCCTCAGTCTGCTGGCAAATGTGAGGTAGAACAGGCTAGCTTAAGCTTCAGAGAAAGAAATTCAAGTTTATGCATTTTATCTCATGCCTCCAGTTGACTAAAAGTGTACAGCCACACGGTGCTGGGTAGTTCAGCCATTATCAGCACAGGACAGTAACTCACTCATGTTTCTGAGCGTTCAGACGTGCCAAGGGATGCCGGGCTGTTCGGCATTCTTTCATTTATTAACAATTCCAAGTAATTTAAAGGCTGTGAGGCTGATTGCAATCCTTTCTGCACGCTGATTTTAAAATTTAAAAGTAGTTTAGGTACTCCAAATTTCAGTATTTCTATTACCACTTTAAAAAGTCGCTTTATTATGGATTTGGGACATTTTAAAAGAAAAAATGTAATTTAAAATATTACAGTTGCTAATACTGGCACAGTTTTGTTTCTCTTGGGTCCTATTTCCTAACAGAAAGTAACGTGAAACAATCAACTGCAATCATTACCTTCACTCATCTAATCTAGATGAGTATAACTAAATAAAAAAAAAAAATCAAAATGGTGGCAAGGAGTCCATTAAAAACACCTGAGGATCTGATTGTTCGGTCCTCAGAACAGCTTAACACGTATTTAACTGACTGCGTAAGTGAACATTTTGGCTCCTATGGAACTGTAACATTTGGATGAAGTCCATTACATGAGGCTTGCAGTACTTGGGCTGGAGTCAGATTTTGGAGCTGCATTTGGGAAACTCTCTGACTAGCCCTAAGCAAGTCACTAAGTCTAATTGTGCCTGCTATCAAAAAATGGCTTTAAAAATTCACTTCCTAAGTTTATGTGGTGTCAGGGACAGCCTGAAACCCTAGCTTCATTGAAATCAATGACAAAACTTTTCCTTACTTACACAGGCTCAGAATTTCACGTTTAATAAAAAAAATTCAGAAACCAGGAAGTTCTGAAATTACTGCCTGGCCTTGTTACAAACTTGCTATGTGATCTTGAGCAATACGTCTTACTTCTTAATGGTGCAGTTTTCCCGGAAGAGGAAAAAAAAAAAAGGCATGATAATTGTTCTCTAATTTACAGGCAGTTTACAAGATTATAAATATCTGGAAAACATCTGAGCCTTTAGATGGAAGTCTCTGTCCAAATCTGAAATACACAATTCAGGACAATTTCCTTATTTTTAATTTAAAATAGTTCCTTTATACAAGTTGCTTCTAGCTTTAAGTTCCTGTGCAAAATCTAAGATGAATGATAATTACCTGGCATTTTAAGGTTATTCATAAATATCAAACTAGAATTTGCCATGGAAGAAAAGAGAAGGTTAAAGTTACTATAAAAGGAATTGTAAAAACAAATTACAGCCTTAAGTCGTTGGTCACAGACCCCAAACACTGTAAAGTTGAAGTATGTCTGCATATTACCATACAAACTGAACTTTGCGGGCCTTCTTTTACCAGCTACTTTGAGGAGGTGGCTTTGACATTCCATGACAGACATCCAGAAGTCTGGTTGCCCGATTCAGAAAAGTGAAACCAGACACGAGGTTTTAGGATAGTAATGAATCTGGAATAAACACTTCATACTATTAAAATCTGGTGGTGTGTTTAAAATCCTAACAGCTGTGTCCTCTTTCTTTCAAATGAAATAAGACCAAAGACAGAAGATCAACGTTTTAGGTGATGGAGTCTTTAAGTACTCCCCTAAGACACTACTCAGTGTCAGTAGAAAGCAGCTGAATTGGATCCATCAACATAAAATACATCTTCTCCTGCATGAGCAATACCTGGCAAAGTAGTACAGAAAAATCAACAAAACTGTCTCAGGAACAAGCCTGCAGCATTTGTTTATGAAGCAGTTTACCAAAATGCTAGAAAATGAGATATTACAATGTACCCGTGGGCTTTCTGAAAGGGTCCTTCGTGCCACCATCAGTAGGAGCTGCTGCTGAAGCGCGCTCGCTGCTTGATCCCCGGAAGACGGTTCTTGGCTCTCTGAAGTGGTAGTACTAGAGGAGCTGAACTGTATTTCACTGTGCACAGAGGGAAGAAAGGAAAGAGACTGTTTTAAGAAGCAGTATTTTCCTAGTATTTCTGAAACATTACAGGTGGAAGCCTGTATTTACATTACTGGTTGGCTCGCAGGGCATGGAACGTTCCACCTCCATACCTGAAATCTAGCCCAGGCCCACAAAGCAATTAACACCCAAATTTAGATACGCATGGCCTACTACATCCACCACAGAGAAACAGATACTTCTGTATCATAATTTTTCTCATCCTGAGATGAACACCTACAATGAATCACACTTCATAAGTGCCTTTTTCTGTCCATGGACAATAATTCAGTCAAGAGCTGCATATCTACAGAGCAAAACTGCAGGGTAGCTACTGCAGAGATCCTGGATTAGCTTTCAAGGAAGCTCACTTAGGTACCAAGCTAGTCTGGCCTCACCTGCACTGAATTCAGTGAGTACTAATTTACCCTACTGATAATTCAGGCAACAAGAACTTGCTTCTCCCCTAGCAAGATGACAACAACACATGAGCTAACTCACATAAGGCTAGCTCAGATATCCCCCATACTGAGCGTAAACTCACCCTAGGAGGGCCCTGAGCAAGATGCCGGGTTTTTTTTTTTCCCCTGTGTTTACTGCTTTATGTTGTAGATACAGCACTTAAACAGTTTACTTGAGGAAATCTTCTGCACTTACAGCAGCGATACCTGTTGGGTTGCAGAAATGGTGTGCTACCATGACATGACTGACTGGGTCTCAGCAAGAACTATATTGAAATGAAATAATTGTTATGTGGGGAAAAGATCTATTTTGAATACTTCTTGCTTATTCTCTTCCAAATGGGGTTTATACATCAGGCACCCTGCTCTGAGCTCATTACCCCCCTGCCTCTGGATGCCTGCCTTGGGCTCTTATTACTTTCATATCTGCATGAGGTGAAAGCACCTGAGTGCTCATGCAAGGTAGTCAATACCTATTGTTCCTATTTTCCATAAAGAAAAGACAAGCAGGAAGAAACTAGAGCAATCTGCCTACAGTCAGCCAGGAAGCCTGTGGCAGGGCAAAGAATAAAACTCTCATCTTGCATACCCTATGCTTGCCCCCAAGCCACCTTATTAATTTTAGTTAACTCAACATTCCTTGCCTTTGGGCACCAATTCCCAAAGCCCGTCATGTAACCTTATTAAGCTCAACAAAAGGGGCTTTAAAATTATGGCTGTCCTGCACATAGCTGGCTGTTAACTTAAGCTGCAGTGGGTAGCACTGTGCTGGGATAAGGTTCAATGTCTGGATTACTTAGAAGCAGGGCTGAAGCATCACACCAACAAATTGAAATGCACGCACTCTCTCCTTCTCCCCTCCAGGACTTGCTAGCTCTGCCTGGACCTACAGGAACACCAGCAGCCTCGGGATGTCCCCAGAGGAGCCATCCTGCCTCTGGTCTCTGAGCCAGGTAGTTTATTTTTTTCAAAGCCTCAACTGCTATCAGGCTTGGATCCCAGACCTGATATTCACCATCTGCCACTCCAGCTGAGCTATCAGCTGAGTAGAAATGAGAGCACCCCACATTCCTGACCCTAATGGCTTCCCCTGCACTCCCCACTCCTCCTGCTACAGGCAGAAGCATGATCTGCTCCACAGAGTCAGGACAGCTGTCATGTTCTCTTTGGACAGTACTAGGAAATGAGGACTTAGTTCAACACAACCCACTTGACATCCCAGCCATGAGGCAGCCCTCTGTAAGAACGTATCTCCATTGTGGGTCTCGTTTAGGACCCTGTCAGCAGTCAATAACTAAAGAGCACAGAAGCAATGGGAACTGATCCAAGATCCTGGATCTCAACCAAAAGATTTAGGTAGGAAGAAAGAGGAAGAAGCCGAGAAGCATGCCTCCCAGGAGGAAGATTGCCACAGATATGGACTACAGAGGACAGCAGTGCCTTTTGCATATTTTGAAGTGCCCTACTCAAGAGCAACCTTGTCCAGCTTGAAGGAAAGCAATAGGTTTTTTTGTTTGTTTCCTCAGGATGAGCTGTCCTGTGCCTTGTCATTGTGGGTGCAACCCTGGGACTCCCTGTTCACAGCAGGAAAAAGGCAAGCGTAGCCCAGGTTATGCAAGAACGCTACCCTGGGAATTCCTGCCCAAAAGGCGACCCAACAAAACAGCAGGGAAATAGAACAGTGGCTGCTCATGCCTTCCTAAATGAAGAGTTAACTTTCTGCATGTTTAGCTGTCTTTCTACAAAAGCCAAGTGGAACCAAGAGTATTTCTAGATTGAACCATGTCTTCTATCCCACGTTGACCAAGAATGGAAATGGCAGAAGGACAGATAGATAGGCCAAGATATTCCCCTGGTGCTCTGCTCTATCAGTTCTCAGAAATCAAAATTATTTCACTCATAAGACTTCTTCCAAGAATAAACTTAAGAGATCAAATCATCTCCCACCAGACTTGAAGATAACTGAAAAGCCAAGAGAGCCCATAGTCTGTTTTCTGTTTACAGAAAAAATTCATAGCTCCACCTATCAGCAACTGGCAGAAGAGTCCACAAGTAGCTGAGACACTGACTGTGGGAAAAAGTCAGAAACTTCATAGGCCTGAAAAGGCAATTAGGGCAGAGAAGTTGGGAAGGCAGAGCTAGCAAAGCAACAATTCCAAGATCAGAAGCCATCATCTGGCCTTCATCTGCCTCCTATGCCTTTTATTCATCAGCCTCATGTCTCTGTGTCTTCTTACTCTTTCCTCATTCTCCATTCCCCTCAGCTCCTGTTTGCTGGTTTTTTCCTTCTTATCCCTATTTTCCACACAACCTCCTTCTGACATTCACTTGCTATCCTCCTGATGCTGAATTGCTTGCACAGCTACTTAGAAGTTGCATGTCTCATCTGATGACATTGTTATCACACTGACAGCAAATACCAGTAAGAAATGCAATGGTGGTGTTTGTGTTTTTGTAAGCCTATAAACTAGACTCCATAAATTTATTACCATATATAAATAGGAGCAAACACTCTCTAATCATAAAATCATTATAACAGAGCTGATCGCAGTATAACATGGAATCTTACTAAATAGAAAATCTGTTCATTTGCAGAATCAAATTAATGCTATCAAGATCTACTACAGTAAACTGCACTGCTAATGCAAGCAAAGGTATAATTGAACTAAATTTTGCATAATAAATTATTAAATAAAAATATCTTTGATAAACACACAACCTATGCAGATCAAATGCAAAAGCTACATAGCACCCTCTACTGATAACTGGTTGTAAAGTCAGGAATTTTTTTTCTGGCTCATAATTCAGTTTTGTAAGAATACTGAGCAAACATAAGCTAGTTGAGCAATCATATAACACCGAGAATTCATAGCACTGGAAAAATCTTCCTTCTCCCTCTCTGATTAGTCTGTGACAGTTGCCTTATACCACTGACAATTTGGCCCAAGCCATTCAAATATGATACCCTAAGTCATCCCCTTTGTTAAGGATTAGCTAGCCTTGAGTCTGAACACTTCTCAAGGTAAGCTCACTATACAGGCACGCCAAAAAGAATTGCCCGTTAACAGAATTGTTTTGCAGATCTTGGCTAAATTTTATTTTAACCTGCATTTAGGAGAAAGGACAAGGAACCTTGTAACCAATGTCACAACAGTCACAATAACAAAGCACCTTCCTCTGGGTTCTCACATGCTTAAAACCAGAAAGATCCCACTAGACTCCTTCAGACTTTTGTAGTAACCCAGATATCTGGGTTATCTGGGTTACTACAAAACTTAACAGTGTGCAACAAGTATCTGCAGCAATAATAAATAATGTAGCTGAAAGCCATTTGTAATACTCACTACAACACCACTCTTAAGTCAAAGCAGCTATGGCTATGACATTTGAAGAGAGCCAGAGTGAAGCTCAGAGTTGGGACTCTCCTCTTCTGCAATCACTTCTGAGGTACTGGTCTGAGGTGCATTCAAAGTGCTTGCCAAACTGAGACCTGGGCGATCCGGTTGTACAAGAGACATAGACATAGCAGAACTCCAAATGCCCTTACTTTTGTGCCCTTTCAAAATGGTCAGTTTGTGGTACAGACATAGGTGTCTGAACTGACATTGAAAGTATTGGATCAACAGCAGCCCACAGCTCACTCATGGCACCTCCGTTACTCAATGTCATTGCTGATGTCTTCCTACCACTACTTCAGCAGCTTTGCTCCTTCTCACCTAAAATGGCCTCCCTGCCATTTCATGTCCCAATCGCTTTTACACCTCATCACACAGGCCCCTTGCTATGTCTCTACTCATTGCTCATTAGGTCTCCACTACAAAGCTGCCAGCACTAATCTGACCAGAGTATTGCACAATTCAGGACTGAGATTAAATCCGCTAGTTGTATATATTGCTTTTTTTAAGCAGCAGATGATTTACAGTTCCCAATTGTACTACCAAATAACAAGACTTAAACCAAAAAGCAACCTAAAGTACTAAACATGAGGAAGAATAGGCAATCTTCACTTTTTTGGTAAGAAATTAATAGTTTCAAAAAGAATACAATTAATTCAGAATGCATATTTTAACTTTCCTTAGTGGTTACTTCTGAGGGGAGCTCAAGCTAAAGATGAAATCTCTCTTAAATCTTGTTTACATTTTGCTACTCATGCAACAGGATTTGGGGGAGGATTTTTGGCATTTGTTTTAACTAGCAATAACAATACCCCTAACGATAATAAGATAGAATACCCGAGTTTACAGAATGGGAAAGCTGGATGTAATGATTTACTGACACAGTAGACAGAAAAGGATATAAGATCACTGTTTAAGTTTTGCAATAGACTACAAAATGAGCAGTGGTACATATTAAGTTCATTAATTCAGATACTACATATGGACAGAAAGGCCTTGTCAAGCATGTTACCAGTAGCATTGTGGGCAATATGAAGGCAGGAAATTGTGAACGCCTTCTTACTCAGGTGTAAGAATGGGATCCACTCGGTACACTCTTCTCAGTATTCAGATTTTTTTA